CTCGAGAATAATCAGCACTAGAGCAGTGAACAAGGATATTTGAACACCAGGGCAAGCTCCTCTTGAGGATCAAGTGACGAAAGTCAGAGCCTGCCTTGCCTTGGAAACTACGTCTTGAATGCGACGACGGAAGTCGAGGCGGTGATCGATCGTGATACCGAGGAGGTGAATGTGCGTTGTTAGGGAAACCTCAGCACCACTCAGACGGAGGGCTGAGGGACTTGAGGTTTTGTGTAAGCTCTTTATGTTTATGATGGCGCATTAAGACAGATTTAGGGCAAGCTTGTTTACAGACCATTGATGAACCCCGTCGAGGCCAGCATGCAGGCGTGTATAGTGGCAAGATTATCAGCATATTAAAGAGGGATGGAAGAGAGAGAAGACGTGACATTGTTGATAAACATGTTAAATAAGGTGGGACCGAGTACACTATCTTCTGGTACACCGTAGCGTACAGGTTTCGTGGACGATTAAGCGCTTTCATTGGCAACAGATTGGTTGCGCCAGGAAAACAAATCCTGCACTCAGGCATACAGTAAACCAAAAATACAAACCAGACGAAGCTTGTGCAGGAGAAAGCTGTGGTCAATGCTGTCGAAGGCTTTTCTGAAATCTAGTTGGACGATTTGGCATGGGATTCCACTGTCAAGGCTGTCACTAGGCGCATGAATGACTGTCGTGAGTGTCGACTGCCAAGGCAAAACCCGTACTGATGGGGGCTGAGGAGGTTTGAAAGCTCTATATGAGCCAGAAGGTGTTGGTTACTAACTCTTTTTATTGTCCTGCACACGATGGAGGTTGTGGAGATCGGCCGATATAAAAACGTAAGTCAGATTTGGGGGCACCATGCTTTTGTAAAGGGGTGTTACGGAAGCGATTTTTGGAGATTTGAAAACAGTACCGTGGGAGTAAAGATCGTTGAGAAGACGTTAAGAACCGCGGAGAAACGGCCAGCGCAGGCTTTGAGGTGCGCAGGGTGAATGCCATCCGTTCCAAGACGTTGGTAGCTGTTGACACGAGAGGAAGCTTCGTAAGTTTCATCGCGAGAAATAACTAGGGAGAAGAGTAGCTTCGGGCGCGGTCAACGCTGGCAGAGTAATTGGTTGAGAGGGAGAGAGGTCGGGTGCAATCGGATCAGTTGATTTAGGAAAGGAAGAAGCCTCGAAAGAAGAGTTCAACGATATATTAGGCTTGGAGTAAGATATACAAAGATGTATAAACACCGGAACATGGAATATTTTTCGTTGATGGTGAAACTAGGTCCAGAAGAGTTTAGGCTGTCTGATAGCTTCTCCTGCTAGTTGATGTAGTTAGTCTTTCTGGGAAGTATAAATGAGACGTTTGGCGTCTTTACGGACTAGGTGGGCTTGGTTAAGATGAGAGAGATTCTGACTTTTTCGTGCCTTCTGGAGAATCTGGTGTTTACGTGTAAGCAGAGCTAAATTTCCTTTGTTATTCACGGAAGGTTGGCGCGCTTCCGACCAACCGTGTCGGGAACACATTCGGGTTGAAATTCGGACATGATGTCAAGCCAAATGTCATAGGCGTTATTAGCCGATTCGTCATCGAACAGAATGGACCAGCGCGCTAGGTGGATAAGCTGGTTGAGATGCTGGAAATCGGTTTTTGTAAACTATAAATGCTTATTGGCGTGCTCACCTCGCTTGGGGGTCTAAGCAGTGGATTTTGGTGAGAAGAGTTCGGCGATTGCAATAAAGGAGGCTGGGAATGACTGTGCAACGGTGATAGAAGGCGGGATCGGTTGTAAGGGCGAAGTCGAGGAAACTGACGGAGCCATTCCTATAGGTGTAAGATTGACTGTCACAAAGTTGCGTGAAGTCAGCTGTTTCCAGTATATATAACAAGTCCTCGGGCGGGCTGGACGGGATAGAAGTATCGGGGTCAGCCTATTTAATGTGGCTATTAGAATCGCCCAACTACACAAATTGTAGATAATGTTTTCTGCTCGATGCGCAGTGGGATGCCTTGTGGGAGAGCGTAGGAACTTGCATTGAGGGAGGGTGGGTAGAAGACAGATGGCAGTAGGAGGTTTTCCACGTTTGCAAAAAAAAAACCTCGACAAAGATGGCCTCAAGATCTGGCATGATGAGATGGTCAAGACTTCGGCAAAGCAAGTGTTTCGGAACGGTGAAGAGAACACCACCCCCAGTTGATGGACGGTCTTGCCAAAAGAGAGAAAATGGTGCGAGGTTAATTAGCTGTCCGTAGAACACAAAGGCGTGTAGTTACGTTTCACACACAGCAAATATTGTGTTAGTGAAAGACGACGCGAGAACATTGACGTCAAGTAGTTTTTTTTTTATTTAGGGAGAGCCGAAAGCGCCGACGTCAGTGTCGAGTGAACGTTGATCGCCATGTCTACCAGTTAACGGAGGTAACCCAGATCGTTGCCTGGAAAGGTTACTTACGACGGAGAAGGCGTAGCAGTTTCATAGTGTGTTTAGGTGAGAACAAGTCATCAACCAGGTGGAAGAGTTGGCACGCCGCGCAGAACCAATGCGCTGATGAGGAAGAGGAGCGTCTATATAAAGCTAGAGAACCATCTTCACATTTGCGATGGAGCCACGAGTCGCAGCCGTCGCGCTGCAGAGCTGCGACATTAACGTACGCATACCGAAAACTGCAAGTGCAGAGAGGACAGGGGCCAGGGTTGCGGAGGTACATCACCGGCGATGAGTAGAACCAGGAGAAGATGGGCTTTAAGACAGGGGGCGGCTACCGGAAAAATGCCGGCCACTAGGTTGAGTGCCAGTTTGCCGCAGCAGGTCGTCTCCGCGAGTAGCGATGTTGGACGGAGAATCCGCAGTCCAAGAGCAATTCATCAGGTACTTGCGATACTTCGATGAGAGACTACATTTCTTGCATAGAACCAATTGGCCCAGTAGGCATAATAGGAGGTGGATAATAATAAAGGCATCGGGGCACGCCGCCATGACCACCAATGTTCATTTGCAGTCGGGTAACGAAAACCACAATAGAAGTCTCAGCTTGTGCCGGAAAAAAAAGTGACCTAGGTCCGAGGACATCATTTTGTTGGTAGAAAGAGGACATTCCAATAAGGTTTGATGGTGAACTATACAAACCGATGAAGACGGTCGTGTGGATCGTTGTTCCCGCCTCGCTCGTTATTATCCAAACAGGAGGGACGAAACTATAGTGGAGCATCGGAATTCTTTTCTTCAGTTTGACGTCGTCCGGTTTCTTTTCTTCAGTTTTATGTCGTTCGGTTTCTTTTCTTTCTTTGAGATATCATGAATTCACCTCTAATACAATACAACGTTTCTTTTTTTTTCAGTACCTACCGAAGTTACGGGACATATTGGAGCCACATGTAGGTGAGTTTGTCGCACCACTCACTTAGCAAGAAATTTGCTAGTTTGCAAGAAGAGTGTATGTTTAAGACTGACCCTGGGCTCACAAAAGGGATAGGAGGGGAGAATTTGGGCAAGGAAAAGAGGGGGGATGAGCGACTCCAATCGTCTCGAAGGTCGCGAAAAATTATGTTGCCGACCTTCAAACACATATACACATCCACGCCCTAAAAGAGACGACTGCGAGGCGCCGTTTGCAAACGAGAGCCATGGGGGTCCGTATAACAAATACAGAGCTTGTTTTGGGAGAGAGGAATTTTGCAACTTTTGCCATGTATCTGCTGTGTACGTCCTAAAGTACATGATAATGTACGTCATAAAGTACATAAGCTGCCTCGTGACGCTTGGCTTCGATACCGTGGCGAAGGACGAAGAGTAGCTTGTAGGAGTGTGCTGCTCATGTGCAATCTTATTTCCTATCCTTTTTTTAGGCGGGGAGGGGTGGGGACGACCCAACTATATTTTATTTGAGGGGGGATTGGGGGGGGGGGGGGGCAAAGTGCATCTGATCTTCCCTCCCTCCCCCCCCCCCTTCCCCCTGGCTGCGTGCATGCCATTTTTTATGGTGTCTGGAACGCTTCTCCGACTGCTGTGTTCAGCGCGTCGAAAAAATCCGACGCTTCCATTTTATCGAAGCTCATTTTAGCGAACGCCGGTTTAGAGAGCCCCGTTTTTAGAATCCCTTTATTGAGAAACCAAAGAAAATGGCAAGGAGCCTCCTTTTAGCGGATTCGGGAGCCACGAAGCGGCGTGGGCCAGTTGGGGTAACATTTTTTTTTTTTTTTTGTAATCAGCCGTTGCAAGCTGCCGCCGCGGAGCGGCATAAACGGGGGGGGGGGGGGGGGGGGCGGGGCCGGGGGGGTTAATTTCTGCTTCAGAGATACACGCGAGAAGCAGGGGAGCCCATTTTTAAACAGCGCGCTCTTTTCAATAAACTGCGTTTCTCTAACCTGGGGCTCCGCTTTTTCTAAAGGGAACTTCGATTAAACGTGCCCATTCTCTAAAACGTGTTCTGATGTAACGGCGTTCTATCAGCCGTAGTGAAGCCCCCTAAAAAGTGTTCCATCGATATTCGCCTGAAAGCGTCATAAAAGTGTCATGCTGTCGACAGCCGTGATTCCAACGGCGTCTCAGCAGCAAGGGTTAATGTGGCAGAGGGCAGCTCTGCTGCAGGTCGCTGTCTTGCTTCAGAGTTCATGGAAGCGGTTCGGCGGCCAGGAGTTCTGAAGCCGTGTGACGACAGCGACGCTCACATTTGCTCTTGCTTTTAGTCTGCATGCTTACGACCAGTTTCCAGGATTGCGACATCCGAGAGCATAACGCTGCGGCTTTTGGAACGTCGTTTGTTGCCTCTTCGAGACCCGTTTTCTATTCATGGGCGGAATAGGAAGCTAAACACACCAGTTCGAAACGCGTTCCGGGCGGAACGCTTCCTATTTCGTGACCTGTTTTTCGGCGTTCTTATTAGTTGTAATCTCATTGGCCGTGTAACGGTAAAATAATGCACGAACCTGATAGACTTTGCACTTTTTAAGCTGTCAGTCGCTACTAAAAATTTTCGAAATTAAACAAAAACAGTAATCCCAAACGGGGCGGCGGAAAACTTACCGCAAGTAGTATGTTGGGAATTGATATGCACGAAGCTGACAATCGACCAATGTATGCCAGGCAGACAGAAAATAGGAAGGCCAGGGACATCTAGAAGACGGGAAAATGCACGATTATAGAACGTGTATATATTATATAGTATGTATATAGTCCTGCGCAGATAACGGTTTGATCACCCGCATAAGATCTGCAACAACACACTTTGTATCCGCCTCCGAACCGCATCCGCAAAATACGGAACCGCATCCGACCCTCAATCCTCACATTTATTTTGTATCACAAAATCTAGCATGAATAAAATGTAAACTAAAGCATCTGAATGGTATCCTATAATCCAAATGCTTACCTTTCTACGACGAGCTCTCAGTGTCAGAATACGGTGAAAGTCATTTTATGGTATTCTGTTCATGGTATTTATATAATACGCAATCATCACTCCAGAGACCATTCGCATCGCTGCAAAGAAGATCGCAGTAATGGGATCGTCTTGGGAGTATGTGGCACAGACACTTTTCCACATTATGCACTCGAAATGGAGGAAATTTATATTTATTTTCCTTTGTGCTTCATAAAACCTGCTTCGAGCACGAGCGTATTTTAGAAACATGAAAATTAACAAAAGACAGAATACGCGGTTAACAATAGTCCATGCTAAGGTGAGATGAACTATAGCTGCCTTTATCTACACTGCACTCGTCGACCTTGATAGACGAGTATAATGGAAACAAAAGCAGCTAGCTTTAGGTCTACCCACTAATCATTCCAACCAGGGTTCGGTGTTCTAACCTCCCCGCGCGCTCACGTCTTCTCCTCTCCCTCAGTTTCTCGGCATATTGTCTTGTATATCTGTTTAGAGAGCCGGAGGTTAACCTCAATAGGCGACTTGCCTCTCAGCTGTGGATGAGCAATCTAGCCAGTGCAGTACAACCGCTAGCCTGGAGTTTTTAAAGCGCGCCACGCAGCAGTGATACAGGACCGCACGCCGGTACACGATGCTCATCCTCATCGAAACGGGCAGGGGTGGGGACTGAAGCCAGGATTGCAGGGTTTGGTAGAAAGAGCTTTCGTTCCACGCGCTCCAAGCTTCGCTGCGCGCACTCAGCCACCGATTATCTCCCAAGCACGGGGCAAGCACTGAGTTCCACACATCGTTAACGTTCGAATATTCATATTCCCGTGATCGCAGCGGTTGGGCACGAGCCGCTACCCGAATTTATGTAGAGGCATTAAGGAGTTTTAGAAGAGCAGGCCCCTTCGATTCGGGTCACCTAAGCAAATTGGGGGATCAAAAGGCGTTGAGCTCCCCTCTTCTAACACTTTCTAATAGAGAGTTTTACAATAGCATTGTGCCGAACCCATACCGAATGCTCACGCAGTGCTCTTGTCCTCTGTATGAGCCGCATTTTGATATCGTCACAGCGGAGATCACAAAGTGAATCGCAGTATTAATCTCTCTAACAGTGCGATGCACACAACTTCGTCGTCAAGTTTTGCGAAGGAGAGACTGAAAGAAACCGTTTGCTTTGACCCTTGAAATTGCGCGGCGATCACGGGGTTTCTTCGTCGGTGGCGTTGCGTGCGAGATTACGGGGGGTTCCACGATCAAGTGCATGCGTCATTGGTAAAGCCTTCTGCAACTGAGGCAAGTTCCAGCTTCAGTAGAATCAGAAGCATATTTAAACACCAGATAATTATACAGCATATGACCTCACCCCAATAGAGTGAGCGGAAAAATGTGAATGTTAGTTTTGACATCACCTTCATTGGGCGTTTCCTCAATAGCTATTTTGAATTTATAGATGATAAACACCGTCTCGAAAAGAGTAAGGCTTGGGTATAAGAAAATGAATTTTGTTTGCGTAGGTCAACAAGCCGCCGGGACTCTCCTTTTGAGAAAGCACTGACGCGCTAGTTTGAACGTCTCCGAAAAGTTAGAAGTTCCCGAAACATACAAACACAAAATAAATAAAAAATGTTCGACGATCAATGGGATTTATTCAACAGAAATGTGTTAGCACTGGCTGCTTCTCACCCCCTTTTCACGCTTTTCCATTCGTGTAGGACCCTTTGTCAATCGTTTATCACCGTTTTCCTGTCGTTCTTTAATGCTTTTTCTTTTCGCTTTCCACTGCACACATCGGTTGCCTGCCTCTACTGCTACGTTCTTCAGCTGTATTCGCCTGACATCGCCGACTCCTGGCCTCGACATTCTTCTGTCGTCGCTCTTGGATACAGTCAGCCATGTTCCTCGTGGAAAGAACCACATCCATCGCCGGAGCGGCAACTGAGCTGGGCCGCATTCCAAAACGGCGCCGCGCCTGCTCGTCTCTGGCTTCGTGCCAGCTGTGCGACGCTCGTATTGGTCTGAAGTGACGACGTCAACGCGCGTCATCCTTTTCCTTTCTCTCCGCCGCCGACCAACACATCCTAGGTAGCAAAGCCGTAGTGCTGAATGAGATGGCGTCATCAGCGAAGGGCAACGCTGGGCACAGATTGGACATGACGATTGCGTCAATGTTCCGCTCAAACTTGACTCGAAGCCAAGCGCTAAGGCATCACTCGCTTCCAATCCGTGTCCAGCGTTGGCCTGGTCTGATGACGCCATCTCATTAAGCACTACGGCTTTGTTATCTAGGAGGTGTTGCGCCAACACATTATTTCCTCATCACACCTCATTCTTTGAGACTTCATGCATGGCGCTGAAAAACGGACGCACTGAGTGACACCGGCGGGTTTTCGAAAAAAACGGGCATTTTAATGCTAACGATGAAAACAGTGCGCGAAACTGGAACATAGTTTGTCCATGTTGAATTCGTTTATCGCACCTTCTTATATAACAACCTTTACGCGACTGGTTCCTATACTTCGATCGACTTTGTTCTTAAATAAAATACCAGAAATTGATCAGTGATGAACAATTGCTGTCCAAGCAGCAGCAATTTCGGCCAAGTGCTGGCCAATGACTGGCGATGGTCTTTTGGCAGATAGCCAGAGAGTAGCCATTGTAATGTAGATGGTTGAGCGTGTTGGTTTCTAATTCACGATAACGAAACAGGGACTTTGAAGACAAACAGACAACAAAACGTCTACTGCCTTGATTTCGCCTCCCGAAGCTCCCTGCCTCCCCGACGCCCCCCGTCGAGCTTCGGGAGGCGAAGTCAAGCCAGTAAACGTTTTGTTGAAAGTCGAAAGCCTGTGCTGTCTGTTTGTCCTCAGTGTCTCTCTTTCGTTATTGTATAAAAAAAGTGGCCATTTATAGGTCAATTTTCAATCAATGGCTCATGGCCAGTGGCCATTGACCAATGGCCAGAAAAAGGCCAATCATTGGCCAAAGGCTGGCCACTGTCTGGCCACTGGCCAAAGGACGATTGCGAGCCATTGGCAAATGATTGGCCAAATCTGGACTGCTCGGATGAACGATCGTGCTTTGGTGCCCATTTTGTTTACATCGACGTTATCGATGTTTTTCTTCGTAAATACCGAAAAAACAAAATTTATAGATAGAAAATTAATACTCAATTGAGCTAGCCAGCATAAAAGTACCTTTAGCATAGGTCCCTTCGCAATTGGCGAATCCTCCCGCGCTCTTGGGTCGCAAGCAGGTGCCACGTGCGGATGATCGCGAACTGATTGTTCGCCGACAATAAATGTCTCTTTGCTAAAGGTACCATTTATGGTGTGGTGTTAGGGTTTATATTTTTATATGCTGGGAGACCGACTTCGCGGTGGCTATACAGCAAAATACATACACGGATCAACCATCCTCCATGTCGACCCATCTTGACCTTTGGCAAAAAACCTGTAAAAGCAAAAAAAAAATAAAGTATTACAGTTTACGTTTATATATTTATTCATTTGTTCGTTTGTTCGTTCCTTCGCTCGTTCATTCATGCATTCATTAAACCAATAATGAATAAAGGATTCATTTGCCTGTGAATACCAGCAACATAGTAAAAATACCTAAATGAAGTTTGCAATTCGTGGAATATGTGTTCTTTATTTAAGCTCAATCTACCTGCATTACATTGTTGACGGTTCTAGGGCACATACCCAAAGATTTACTCACACGAACTAAAGGTTTGAAAAAAATTAAACTTAAAACTAAACCGATATATTTTGTGATTATTATAATACTTCGTCAAACAAATAGGAGCGGCATGCATGGGCCGTCGTAGCGTGTTGTCGACAAAAAAGGAAAGAGAAATAGCCATCCCCTTTTGCTTATTTATATGTATATATTAATTATGGACAGCTACCAATTAATATCTTTGGCATTGAAAATTGCATAACGTTTGCGATTTTTAACTCTACGTTTCAGGTATTCAAAATTAACTTATATGAATGTTATGGAATTACAAGTATTGTATAATATTCTGATCAGTGTTGAGACGTTGCCACTCCGCTACTGGAATGAATCAGGAACCATTCTGCAATTTCACGAACCCGGAATAAAATGGAAATGGAATGGCGGCATGTCTGGGGGGAATGGAATTGAATTCAATCTTTCTTTGCCCGGAATGGAGTAGGAATCGAATGGGCTCGGTTCTTACGCGCGCTGTGTCGATGTTCATCTAGGGCCTACGGGCTGATGGCGCGACTCGCTAGCGCACGGTAAGTGGCTTTTTAAGCGCCACCATTGCACTAGAGATGACTGACGGCTTTATTTTCTCTCTGGCTTATGCCCCTTGGAAAATGAAAATGGCACGCCCTCGGTGCAGGAACCAAACCCGAATAGTGGTCGACGAACGAGGTGTCGCTCCTGGCGCCGCGAGCAGTGACAAAGCGGTGGTTGTAATGATGCGCGATCAGCGTGCAGCTTTTAACCAGGGTGTCCAACCGAACTCTAACGAAAAAACAGAGCAAAACTGTTATTTTTAACTGAACCGGAACAAAACTGTAACCGAAATCTATCATCCTCTCATGTGGCGGTTATCAGTTCAATGGCAATGGTTCAGCTTATTGAGATGTGAGCAGCGCCTCCTTGTAGGTGGCGGATCGAAGTCAATTGAATATTCGAAACGGTGGCGTCAGCGGCGACATTAAGACAGCTCAGTAGTAATGAAACCAACAAGTATATTTGACGTCCGTGAGCAGCACCAATTCGCGTCGGTGAGCCGGCGCGGAGGCGTGCACTTGTATACTTTGTTTCACCTTACGATTGACCGCAAAGGACGCTACGAGCGAGCAGAGGTAATTCACAGCTCAGAGGGTATCACGTGTCCTTCCGGTTGGGCGGGGCGACGCGAAAAGCTCAAAGTCAGGACACAAGCTACGAACTATGGATTGGCTCGTGCAGCTCTTAGCGTCCATCGTGGAACATTGTAAGTGGAAACGGAGTAGATCTGACTATGCCGTGAAGCTAAATATCTCTTTTTGTTTGTTTGTGTTTTTGTATGCGCGCATGTGTGTGCGCGTGTGTGTATATGTGTATCTAATTTCTCATCTTGTTTTTGAGCTTCTAAGCGGTATTCCTTAACAGGTGAAAATACTTTTTTTTTTGTATTATCCGCAACGATTGATAACGATTAAAAGCCAAGTCTGGACATTACCTTCAAAATTCGAAACTTGGGAACTGAGTATTTGTGAAGTAAGAAAACAATTTCCAAAAGCCGAATGTCAAGTTCCCGCGCAATCCGCGTCAGTGCAATGACGCCAAAAATTGAATCGTCCTGCAACTCGAGGTTCTCTCACGTCTCCGTTCCGTGTTCGCCCGCGTCCCCCGATCAACCGCACCGTGCCTGCCGCCTATCGCTGTGAGCAGACGACACTTTACTTTCGAGTTTTTTTGTTTTTTGTTTTTTTAGGGTTCTTCCAGCGATTTCGAATTCTTTGAAACGGTGTGAGGTCGAAGAGAACGTGCAGCGGACATCTGTGAGCGACGCAAGGGGTCACGTCGCGTCTGTTTTACGTGGAAGGCTGCCCCGGCAGAGTTACAACAGAAACTACTGTACAAAGACATGAAACCCAGTTGTTTTGCCCATTTGACGATTTCTTTTTTAAAGTTTGAGAGGTCGTCGGGCACCTGAAAAAAGAACTTCGTCCGATTCCCCGACACGTCGATCATCCTCAGTGATACATGCGTCGAGCGCCGAGATGCTCTCCGAGGATGGGTAAAAAACCAGGAGGCGACATCACCGCGGACTCCGATTTTCAGTATTTCATTAAGAAAGGCCGTGGTGGATTCGCAATTTCGTTAAAACAGATGTTTTAAGAATGCCGTTAATAAATATTATAGAAATGTCGCTTACAAAGCTTCTGAATTTCATAATCGATTACTTCACAAATAAAAAGAAGTAAGGAGGTGAGGATCGGCAGTGAAAACCGCCTAAATTATAAAGGCGCGCGCGCACGTGGGAAATTTGTTTTAATCTTTTTTGCGTATCTACACTGCTAGGAAGTCCCGTGTAATCGGTAAATATTTGGGGCAAAAATCACGCTACTTACACAAATTATTATAAATTTATACTTTGAGTAATGGGTAATTTGTTCAGAAAACATGTGAGGTAGTAAAAAAACGTGCTTTGGTGCGGTCATACACGCATAACCGTTTAGTCAACCTCGAAAACACGCACCGCCCCCCTCGACGACCGCAGCATTGCCGGCTATCGAAGCACCTAAATGCTTGGGGACCCACCTAGAAAGGACCGTGGAAAAAAATGCCGCGGAAAGAAACATGTCTCGGAGACACATATGCACCAAAAGCAATTACATTATGTTGCGGGACGGGGCGAAGTCCGCGCTTACCGTGCTCGCTGCCATTGATTTTGGTCGATGGTAATGAGGCTTCCCTCATGTCTCCCATGTTTGTATTTATTTTAGGCGTCTTGATAATAGTTTCTTACACACCAGAAATAAAGTTATGGGCCTAATTACTCGTTCTAAACAGTTAAAATGGATATAAAAAGCGTGCCCTCGATCTGAACACGTGACATTGCAATTGGTTTCGTTTTGGTTTCAACCCCTCAACTGCAAGCGAAGGTGCCTCCTCTCCCCATGGACCCTCCTCAGAATTTATGGCGCTCCGTGGTGGTCGCCATATTAAAACATTATACCAGTACTGCTGCATCTGTAGGACATCTTTAAGCTCGATCTGAAGGAGAAAATCTGGCCGCGGCCCAACGCCGATGTACGCTGGAAGCTAAAGCCGGTTTGCTCTCGTCGTTTTTGTTTGGTCGGAGAAACTCTGGCAACAACGCACGTTAACACCACGCCGGTATTGTTTTGTTTTATGGGGACGCGAGAAGCTTCGCGGTTTGCGAGCACATAGCAAAGACGTGACCGGAGAAGTGCCCCTATGATGTTCCCGGAAGACGGAAAGTATCATTCGTAACCGTCGCGTGTGCTTTGAAAGCGAAGGGAGTCACAGGGTCCACGAGTGCGCAACCAGAAGCTAAGGTTCACGACAAGGCTGCGTTGACTTCGACGATCTCGTTCTGTTTGGTGCAACACGGCGATGCGACAAAGAGCTGAAACGTTCGTGGTGTGTGGCGCGGTGCTTGGAGGTAGAAACCCACACTAACACAGAGCTCAAATTGGTTGTTGTGGGGTTAAGGTTCAACGGGTTCAGTCCCGTCGTCGTCAGCTGATCTGGTCCAGCTGGTCCGGGAGGACGCCGCGAGCGTTTTTAAAAGTAAATCTTCCTTCGTTTCGTTTCAAACTGTGGAAGATTCCCGACGGATACCGTGAGTACAAAACTGCGGGCGTTTTCAACAAAATTACGTCATTTTAATTGAACAATGGACACCGGATTGTTATCCTAAAGCTGCCGTTTCTATGCTTCGTGTTGTTGGACTGCGTTTGCCCAGCGACGTGTTTGCACAGCGACGCACACCGCTCGAGTAGATGATTCGGTCCTGCAAACGACCGGTTATACAGAATTTCAGGGAATGCTTAAGTCATCACCGATATTTTCCTGTAAATATCGTGTGAGTTTGCTGCGCTCATCATGCGGTGTGAATAAATTAGGGCAAGATATTCTACGTACCGACAGATGCATGAACTGAGACAATTTCTTTTTTTTTTTTTTTTTTTTTTGTAGGGAACATAGTGCTTTTTCTTTATTTTGCGAAGAGGGGTTGGTGCATTTATTATGGTACAATCGCTTGAGAGTTTAGAAATTGGGGAGAGCGAGCATGCTTTTCCAACTTTGTCCCGTTTATCTCTGGCATCGCCCCTAGTTTCAAGTTTCGATTTCAGTAGGCATACCTACTAGCAGGTACAAACTGCTCTAAAGCAGGTAAAAGACAGGGGAAGTCAGGACGGTGCGGTCTACTGTTTCGCGGTTTTCGCAAGGTGACTGGGTAAATGCTTTAGCGACGTTTGCGGAATATGCAAACGATTTCGTTATGCCCGTCGTTTACGTCTTTCCAGCAAAACGAATAAGATGATCTACAAAGGCGCAATCACAAACCAAGATTTATGATAACAGTGCGTTGGCTTAGGTGGTCTTTGTAGCTGTATTTTACCCTGCTCTCTGCAGCACCTTGCGTGTCATGACGAACAGCTGGAACGGTCACGGTTCGGGCTGGCCTACCGGTTCACAGAAACCTGCATCGCCCGCATCGGCACCGAGTGCACTTGGGCTGTTGATGCTCAAGCCTTTCATCCGCGGCTTGTCGCCAACTGATCCTGCTGCTCGATGGTAAGGAGGCGGTGAGAGTGACCTCTGAACTAAATCTAAATCCTCGTTCATTCAGTTATCCGGCGTCAAAGTGTGGAAGATGTCTAACGTGTACTGAGGGCGCGAACTACGAGCGTTTTGCCTTGCTTTTATAACCGA